TCTCCCTCCTGCATAATCTGTTTTTCTTTTTCTCCTTGTAGCTGGAAATCAGCTCACAGACAATTTGCGGGCTAATATATATATTTACTTATTTTTTATATAAATTACAGTCTTGCTCGAGAACTCTGGTCTGACGCACGCGGGTTCTCGCGTTATTTCCTTATCACTTCTATCAGTCATGGAGAGTCTCTCTCGTGCTAACAGTCTCTTCGCTCTGGATCTCTATCGGACTCTGAGCGAGAGCAGCGCCGAGGGAAACATGTTCTTTTCCCCACTGAGCATCAGCGCAGCGCTCAGCATGGTCTACTTGGGAGCTCGAGGAGACACTGCCAAAGAAATGGAAAAGGTATGAGGAATAAAGACGTTACCATTAGTGTTATTCATCTTAGTCTAGTTTCAGTTTTTAGTACAGTGGCGGCTGGTGAAAAAAATTTCTAGGTAGGGCGCCACATCCAGAAAGTTTAGCATACATGATTTTTCCCCATTATTACAAAAGGAGAAGTAGTAAGACTTGAAACATTTTAAGTAAAGATAATTGTTTTACCAAGGTAGAGATTGAGGATGATTCCCACAAAACTATTTTCTGCAAGCTTTTTTCAAGATAAATGAAAACATTTTTCTGTACAGTGCTACAGCTAAAACTGTGAGAAAAAAATACATTTGATTAGAGAGCATTTTCTATACGTAGAGTATAGAAATAACGACAAGTCAAGCTGCAATACCAAACACGACCACACAGAGACGCAAACAGACCACTATACCAGTCACCTTAACCTGACTATATAAATATATACCGATCCATTCCAAATTATTAAACAAAAACATACATTTAAAAAGTAAAAAATAACATCCTGAATTTGTCAAATATGGTGATCTGAAGGCAGCTCGACATCACCAGTGAACAATTCCTCTGTCAGAGTGAGTGTTCATTCCCATATATAAACACCACTGACCGCAGCAAACTCCTATAAAAACACGCTTCTTCAGCAAGTGTCAATTATAAAACACTTGCCAGACATGCGAGCATACTGAAATGTGCTTGTGCAAAAAGAGAGCGCACATACACGGTCTGTTTGTTTGCACATTAAGAATAACGGGCGTGTCTAATAATGTACGACTCCTGTTTGTCACTGTAATCGTCTTTACCTCCATTACAATCATCATCCATCAAAACTTCGCTGGTTTGCTTTATTCAGCCCATACAGACTAGTCCTGACTTCATATTTCTTATTTACAGAGTTTGTTCCCACCGATCGCTGCACGGGTTAAGGTTACTTATGACGAAAGCACGTTAGTGCTCGCCCTCCCGGAACTCAGAGATTGCATTGCAGTGCCTGCAGTTCGAAAAAAAAACATCTTTGTATGGAAGTCTATAAGAACAGTCTGGGCGATTCTTGCTCCGAGAGAAATCGCCCAAAAAGGGGCGGTACTCCACAGAACATGACTCGATGCTTATTTGACTATATTTATATTCAGAGGCAGAACAAGTAGTCTAGAACAGTTACAGCTGTGATAGAAAGAAAAAAAAAACCTCCCCTCCGCACTTTAGTGGTGGGTTGTCCAATCGCCCTAATGAAGAAACCTCCCCGGTACATTAAATAACGAACTTAATTTAATCAGATATGTGAGATCTATCCATCCATCTTTCCCTTTGTAGGTTTTGTCCTTCAGTTCGGTCTCTGATGTTCACTCTCATTTTGAGACCCTCACCTCAACTATCAACAGTCCATCAGCCTCCTACATCCTCAAATTGGCCAACCGCCTCTATGGAGAGAAAACCTTCAGCTTCTTACCTGTGAGTTTATTCTGCCCTCAGTAATGATTCATTTTGATGCTGTCTGTGTGATCCGAGACACCATCTTTATTTTGTGCTGCAGGAGTATTTGGACTCCACTCTGAAGCTGTACCACGCTGAACTTCAGGCTGTGGACTTCATTGGAGCATCTGACAAGTCACGACAGCTCATTAACAAATGGGTGGAAGAGCAGACAGAGAGTGAGTATCAGCACCATCAGCTCTTCAACAAATAAAAAACAATTAGATTTGAAAGAATAATTTTGGACTTGATACACGTATACATATTTTATCTTTTTTTTACATATAAAATGAGCAGCAACACTGGTGTTTTTCAGATAAAATCAAAGATCTTCTCAAGCCGGGAATGGTGACTGGAATGACTCGACTAGTTCTGGTTAATGCCATCTACTTCAAAGGGAACTGGATGCACACATTTAAAGCAAGAGAAACTAAAGAAATGCCATTTAAAATAAACCAGGTACTTTCCACCTTTTGTTTTAGGAGTGGAACAGCATAAGCAAATTGGAATTAACTTAAAACCTTTTGCAATTGATAGTGCTTACCCACTGTTGCAAGAGTTACTTGTAAGTAACTCTTCCAACACCCACTCATGCATTAACCAATTTTATATGTTATGCATATTTTGATTTAATGAATTTTGTCTTCAATCAGAATGAGAGCCGGCCTGTGCAAATGATGTATCAGAATAAAAAGTTCCCCTTCAGATACATCCCAGAGTATGAACTGCAGGTGCTGGAGTTACCATATAAACAGGAGGAGCTCAGCATGTTGATCCTTCTTCCAAACGAAACCAGCTCTGACCCTCTTCTGAAAGTGAGCAAAAAAGCCTTTATTAATCTTTTTCTGATCGTTTTGATCCTGTGGAATAGGTCTGGTTTTGTGTATGTTATTTTTCAGTGTGTGTGTTAAACAGCTGGAGAGCGAGTTGACACTTGACAAGCTGCTTGACTGGACTGAAAGAGACAAAATGGCCATGAGGATGGATATCAGAGTCCATTTGCCAAAGTTCAAGCTGGAGGTTGAGAGCTCCCTATTAGAAGTATTGCAAGAGATGGGTATGAGCTCTGTGTTCCAGGAAACAAAGGCTGATCTGACAGGCATGAGCAGTCAGTGTGGGCTCTTCATTTCAGCGGTGATCCACAAAGCATTTGTTGAGGTGAATGAGGAAGGCACGGAGGCAGCAGCAGCCACTGCAGTCTGTTTGCGTTTGGGTGCATGCCGTCGACCAGAGTTTCAGAATTTCACAGCAGATCATCCCTTCATGTTCTTCATCAGGCACAACCCCACTAACAGCATCCTCTTCCTTGGCAGATTCAGAGGTCCATCCTAGAAATGTTACACATAAATGAAGAATTGTGTTTTTGTCTGAATATTGTATCAAATAAATCAACTGAACAATCTATACGTTTGTTCTTGTCTTCACACATGGCATTAGGAAAGTCAGGAAATCTACCGATAACCACAATAGTGTTTTGAAAATGATTTTTGAATTGTATGTTTGTCTTAGGTAGTTGTAGATTTAAAAAAAAAAAAGCTGTTTTTAAGACCAAGATTCATCAATCAATGATGAGATGGGTTATGACAAAGGATTTGTTTACACGACTCGCACCAGAGAACTTGAAACTGCGGAAACACAGGGCGGGGCTTCCTCAAAAACATACAGCAAGAGCGTCATTACAACATTGTGCTATTTTTATTCAAGGGTTTTATGAGAACATCTTTTAAAAACGCAGTGAACATTTTGAACACGTTACAATACTTTATAAACGTGTGCAGTTGGGCACAGCAGTGAACCGGCCTGAGCTGTCGAACCAAAGAACAGGACATCCTTAAGAAACGTAAAATGCTACATTTACACTCGTGGCGCCTAACAGTGTTTTGCAAGATGGTTGCATAAACTTTTAATCGCAGCTGGTTTGGTGGTTTTTATTTGCAGCAGTGTCATCAGTCATGGAGAGTCTCTCTCGTGCTAACAGTCTCTTCGCTCTGGATCTCTATCGGACTCTGAGCGAGAGCAGCGCCGAGGGAAACATGTTCTTTTCCCCACTGAGCATCAGCGCAGCGCTCAGCATGGTCTACTTGGGAGCTCGAGGAGACACTGCCAAAGAAATGGAAAAGGTATGAAGAACTGATAAGTTGTCAATCTGACATCATTTGTACCAATCATTTCCGTCTGAAGTTTCGGTGTAATTCATACCACTGCATGTTTACTGATATTTAACCATGATGATGCAAAAACTAACAAGTAGTTGTGATGTCCGGTTCGCGAACGAATCGTTCGATTTAACCGGTTCACCAAATCGGGCTGAATCATTTGAAACGGTTCGCGTCTCCA